AAAATAGACGACTCGTTCATCGTGTGACTAGTTTTCTATTGAATATATTTCTGTAATAAATTGTTTAACAAATCAATCAAATGGTGGCAAAATGTCCAACAAATACAGACAATAGAGTCAGTCGTTTACAAAAAAGATTGCACCCAAGGGTTCGAGTGTTTGGAAAAATATGTCAATTAAAATTAAAAAGAAATTTCATTTAAAAATTACTTCGAATAACAATTACTTTAAGATTATGTCAAAAAACAAACAAAAAATCATTAAATAATAATAAAAATATTTTCATAATGAGATGTCAGTTAGAAAATGCAAAATAATTATGTGTTTGCAAACTACGAGGCACTCAATCATAAATTATCTCTTTATTACTAATCCATTGATGAGAGCCTACGTGGAGCTCGTGGTGGTGGTGGTGGTCGTGCGCTTGCCTTTCACGACGACGGGTCTGCTCTTAATGGTGCCCTTCTTCCTCTTACTCGTCTGCAAACAGACCATCACTTCATAATTACAATTAATCCACAATTCTTTCATTTCGGAGACAATACCTTCTTTGACGAGAAGATGTTTTTGGGCTTCACTTTGCGGTCGCCGTAAGCGATCTTCACTCGATTGGCCGGCTGTTTGACTTTGTAGATGCGGACCAACCAGTGCTCGGTAGTGTAGGCCTCCTCCAAGTGCTCCAATCGGATGTTCTTATTGCCGATTTCCATATTGCGGGTTCGGTCGAAACCGGCCGGACTTCGGTAGTCGAGCTGTTCAGCAGTCAATGGCAACAGTTTTAGCCAACCATTCAATCAACACATGGATCAACACATGGATCCACTCATACCTGAAGTTCTCCGAACCGAAAGTAACTGAGTTTATACATAAGGCAATTGAGAAGAGTGGGCGCCCCCTGAGCATCCACTCGGAACTCTCCCCGATCTGTGAAGTAATCGCTTTCTCGGATGTCTTTCGGGTGCTCCCCCTCTGCTATGCGAACCATCCATAAGAACTTATTGATGTCATCACCAGAATAGCCAATAACTCCACCGAATATGACTAACACATAGTCGACGTCAAGCGATTGCATTATAGTATAGGCGGCGCTTTCGTTAGACGACATCGCTTTGCCGACCTTTTGCGAGCATTTAATGTCACATTAACTCAAATTATATGAAAAGTATTTCAATGTTAACATACGAGTGCGATATGACTGTTATTCCACGTATTGTTGTCCACTAGAGTCGTCCGATTAGCCATTCCTGCGATCTGATAGCCGTAGTCCCACCACGACATGACTCGGGCGTCGTCTGCGGTGTTTTGCGACAACCAATAGTAAGCCTCTCGAAAGTCGTCTAAAATCACTCGAGATCTAAACATAAATAGAGAAATCACTTAGAAATCAATCAAATGATTGCAAGCGATGTTTGACTAACCCGTCGCCGCTATAAGAGGCCAACACAATGCTGGGACTGGAGTAGGCATTACTGGTAACCCAAGTGCAATGAACCACAAACAGCATAAGCATCATAACCAACAGAACCGATATAAATGTACGCATATTAGCACCGATGCCATGACTTTCCTTCGACACGTCTGTCTTGGGTTTACGTATTTTGCCGGCCTTTCATGAAAACGGCACATAAGAGTGAGTTATAATCGCAACAATATCTCTAAAATGGATTACTTTGTCGTAAAGATTTTTGTGACTATTCTTTTCGGCTCCGTTTTGATTGTTTTCTTCGCTATCAGTACTCGAATCGACGGCTCCGTCGACACTATTGGCGCGAGATTTTTGTGTCGGCTTTTCGTCCTGAAGACAGTATGAAAAGGATTCCGAGAACGCGATGGCACTCAACACACAGACCACTGGCGTTAATGTCAACATAAGTCGGACCATAACTCCGGCAAAGTATGCGGCGGTTATGGCGTAGAGAGCGACTGAAAGTGCAATTCAGCGCTATTTAAATCCATATCAATGTTAACCAAACAGTCAAACACTTACTGAACACTCTTTCGTCGTTCACTTCTTTGATACAATACCACAAACCGATGGGAAAGGTAGGGATGAGTAGATGCAAGTCGAAGAAGAATGAGAACCAAGTGGTCGGTTGGTGTTCAGACACCGACGCGATGATAGGAATATGGATTTTGGCGTAACCGGTGTCCCAGAGAGAGTAGAAGCGTCCACTCCAGGGCGCGATATAACCGGCGTATGTGAGGGCCACCACTCCGGCGAACACGATTCCGGCGGATCCGACGACAGCGGTCAGGAAAAAGGTCTTCATCTCGGAACGGGTCATAAAGTTCTGGAGATATTTGAGGAAAGCGTAGGCATTGAGCAAAAGGAAAACACCGGCCGATGCCATGTGTTCAGAGGTGCGGACCGGTTGGAAACCAACGAACGGTATTTGCATTGAGAACAGTAAACCCAATATGAAAAATGTCGAGTAAGCTATCAATGGACACAAAGTGTTAGTTCACAACCCATTTAGACATTGCGTTCAAAACATACAAACATATATGCGATGAGAGAATCGGCCCATAATTAGCAATAAAAATACGTGTAAAGGGATTAAATTTATTATGAATACATAACCACCCCATGCGGACACCATATACAGGTAGGACAGGGCTGTCAGTGCCGACCAGTACACGGAACCCGTTTTCACTGACTTTACCTAAAGTTATTCATTACAAGCAATTCATAAACAAATTCTCCATTCATTGTCTCAATCATTGTCTCAATGCTTACCCAAAGATAATAAGTGAACATAAGAGCGAATATAGCGATGCCTTCGTTGTCATAACTACCGGCCACTGACCGACTAATATAACCGGGAACTGGATTCCAGTTACGGATCAATTAGTTTCCACACAAATGCTAACATTCCCCAACAATACATACCTATGGCTATGAAACAGGCGGCGAAGAGTCCCGCAGATTCTGACCACAACTCTTTGGTCAACAAATACGTGGAAATAGCTGTCAGACCACTGAAGATGGGCGCTAAGAACACACAGATATCCCGGATATGGATCGGAATATTCAGTATTGTCAGCATATAGTGAATGGCACCCGAAGTGATCATCAATCCGGGGTAGACCTGAGAGACACACACATACAGCGATGCGTCGAGTGAGTGATTGGTGGTTAGAAAGACATGAGTGGTGGGAGACATACCGTTCCGCCGACAATACGTCCCAATGGATACCAGGCCCGCTCATCAAACCAATTGAGAAAGTTGTAGTACCCATGCTCTACCATATAATGGGTGGACCGGTAGTTAAACCTGT